TTTTTCTGTCACCAATCAATGGAATGCCCTATATCAAGAGTACATAACCCCGGGGTTATGTACTCTTGCCTGTATCAATAATTATGTAAATGATGGCCTTCACATCATATCAAGAGGTTTATGCACTCTTGATCATATCAATACCGCATTACATGTATACGCATTGATGTGCAACCCTTTTCTGGCAGAAAATGGCAGTAGCATGATAATGCATGTTCTCCTGCAGGTGAACATGTGAGTAGTGGTGGTTATACTTGTTTATACGGAGTTCACTCTGTGCATGTTGCTGTTGCAGAATTTCATGACTCTGTCATAAATTTGTCTTATTATTATTATTATTTACTTTTATTTTACTAGGCTGCGCCTTGATCCTTGAAGGGTGGTGGCGTTCCTACGGATGCGGAAAGCCCGGCTTCCAGCCGAGTCTCACGCGGACCGTGAATTTTTTTTTACTAGGGCGTTTCCCACAGATCTATGGTCTTCTTACGGGAGCCCCTAGGAAGGTTATGCATGAGTCGTGCCTTTCAGATATTTCAGATTTCCCCACCCTCGATCAGATTTGTTTGAGAAATGTAGCCATGCGCCAGGTGCGTGTCGCAGATGTTTTTGTTGATTCTGTGTTTATATTGGTTTATAATCATGGGTTATCGTGATAAGGTCATCCACCATCATATTGCACTGAAATCGTAATCCTGTTGAGGTCGATACAACTTTTGGAAGTAGTTCAATGACTTCAAACTGTTAGTCCACGATTTTCTAAAACAACACAGCAAAGGAGGAACAATAAACATGTATTAAAATGTAAACAAATACATTGTTGAGTCCGACACCTCGTTCCAACAACTACACTGATCCTGAGGATAAAAGGGTCAAGGCTATGGTTGGAGGTACTGATACTGAGAGATAAACAAGGCACTCCATGATAATAAAATCTTACACATCTTTTGGTGAGTATGAATGATATCCAGTCGAACCTCTTTAGGACGAACACCAAGGGACCGATGGTATATATTCTGTGAGTTTGTCTTAACCTATTTTATAACCAGTGAATACAATTATTTCTCAAATAGACATACGAATAGATTTATTCTACAGCGAAAGATTCTAAGCCACACCGACTCATTGACTCGTCTCCTATCAAACAAAAGAGTCACTAGAGAGGTTTTGCAAAACGAAAATGCGTACAAACTTTCCCTCTACATCAGGAGGTGCGAAACTTCGCACGAACTTTCGCAACTTTGGAAGCGCAACTTGCAGGGAACACGAAATGAACTGTCGTAGGAAATTTCGTGAGATCGGGTCATGGCGTACGTGCACTTGGCCCGCGCAAACTACGAAAATGTGCAGAACGCAAAGTTCGTGCAAAAATTCGTACACACTTTCGCAAGAACTGTCGCGAAACTTCGTTCGAATTTTCGTTTTGCAGAACCTCTCTACTGAACCTTTCTTTAGCAACATGACAGCAACTGAAACAGCAACAGAGAAAGTACGATACACGGACTGCACATTCTTGCAGGTACTACAGGTACTACAAACAGATTGCAGATCGTAATTCTTGCATTAGCGGCACGAAACTTTATTTGGGGCAATGCAATCTCGGCGGTACTCACAAATCAAACAGCCCAGACTCGAGTAAACAAATGCAATCATACAAGTACGAGATTTTCACGAGACTGCACCCGTTGGCTCGTTTCGTATGAAGCAAACAAGTTACTGAACCTCTCCACAATGGAGATTTTCCTTGATATGAGAATTTAGTTGGCAAACTCAGTCAATGAGTCCTTGAACCTTTCCCTCCAGATTGGGAACTGCCAACGATAGTATGCCACTGACCAGTGCCTTACTTGTAACGTACTAATGTGCAATGGATATGAGTATTTCGACAACACATCTAACATAAGCCTTACCGTCAAGAAGGTGAACTCGCGTTCTTCGCACACTGTAGGCAAGGGCAAAGAGATAAAAATGGATCTAAATCCGAATAAAATCAGCACACGTTTCCGTAAATGAAAGGGTGAGCATAAGCAAATGAATCGAAGGAAACTGGTCAACTCAGAGATCACCTGTCATTGAGTATTCCGTAAAAGGAGGCCTCGGCAGCGGAAAAGCTAAATTTAGAAAGGAGATCCTGTCAGCTTTTCCATTATTTATTTCATTCCGCCCAAAATCAGCACACTTTTCGTAAATGAAAGAGTCAACACAAGCAAATGAATCAAAGTGAACTGGTCAACTCACCTGTCATTGAGTAATATTCCGCGAAAGGAGGTCTCAGCAGCGCCGAAACGAAATAAGCCAGGCCAGGACACGAAATATCCGAAACAGCTCATGCAAGAAGCAGTTCCAAAGAAGGAAGTTCGTCGTGCATGCACATCCGAAAAGGCAACAACAAAAAGTCTGCAATGCACACGCATGCGGCCAGCCGGCCGCGCGATGGTGAGTAGCTCCCTCGGCCCTGGTCCAGGACCAGCTAGGTACCGAGCATCTTACGTAGAAACTTACGTAGCTACGTAGACAACGTGTCTGAATAGCGGTGTCGTTAGGTAGCGCCATGTGAACACAATAATAGAAAAGCTGACAGGATCGCTTTTCTAAATAACCGAACACTGCACAGTCCTGCAGAGCTTGCAGAAGTAGTCTGGGACTACAGTGTCCCAATAGTTTTCATGGGTCCTCCGGGAATGGACTAGACTCCTTTGATTCCTTTCCAGACTTTTGTCACGAACGTTAGTGGCGTCTTCTCACTCCGAGCCAGCTGTAAGTGTAGGTGAAGGCGACAAAGCAAGTGGGAGCCTCCGAGGTTGCAAGGGACGGCAGCGTTCATCGGGCCTTACTCTTACTCCTACTACTCGCAATCATCAGTCCTGGTTCGTGAAGAGATGAAGATGACCTTTTAATCTATTGAATATTAATTTTAGGAATCGTGTTTCGCAATAGGTATAGTAATACGACGCTATTTTGTAGGGCTCAAACGGTTAGTCCGATTAACCGGTTGCAGACCGGTTACGAAGAATGAACGGTTAACCGATAAAGATAACGGTTACGCACTAAATACGCAGTAACTTTTCAGTCAATTAATTATTTGTCAAGTATCAGGTCGTTGCAAAGTATGCACTTTCGCAGGCTGTCGCACGCGTAGGCAATGTCTGGGCTGTCAACTCGGTCATATCTGGTCTCTTGGTGTAAGAGTATGTATGAATGAGCATGCAAGAGAATGTACATGTGTGCGTTGTACTGAATAGGGTACATTTTTGGAATGAGTAAGAGTCCGCAGGATTGCCGTGGCTTATAGGTTATAACCGTTAAACCGACCGTTAGCTTAGCAGTTAACCGTTCAGGGTAAAACCGTGACCGTTTGAGCCCTACTATTTTGTGTACATTGTATATCCATTTCCTATTTGCTTTAGTGTAGCCCTGAGGTTCACAGGCCCCTTAAAAACTATTTTCTTATCTTCCTCTCTCGGTGTCTCTCTCTCTCTCTCTCTCTCTCTCTCTCTCTCTCTCTCTCTCTCTCTCTCTCTTCCTCTGTCGTTAGGAGGCGAAACCGCCTTTTTTGGCTCTTGTTTTTTTTTATACAAAAAAATCCACACACCATTTGACGGCACAAAGCAGCATGGCAGCGATGAGACATATGGAATGGCAGGAGTGGGGGAGAGGCTGGGGCAGCTTAACTGACCATAGGGTCTCGGCTTCAACGCAACCCAAGCGCTCCACCTGTGGTGCGACGAAGAGATGGAGATGACATTAAGAAGAAGGCATTAACGAATTCTACGAAGAGATGAAGTTGGCATGAACGAAGTCATGCGAAGAGAAGCATGACAGAAAAGCAAAGCCGACCCATGGCTTCTTCCTCGCCCAATTCCGGGTATACGCTCTACAAGTAGGATGAGAATCGTTTCCTCGCTTGGTAGTATTGTCCTCGACTCTAGTCTCCTCGGTCAATACTCTTGAGTCGGCTGTAGTCTTGGAATACGTCACGACGGCCAGAATGTCAGTCACGGTACATGTATGTCGGCAGAAGCCTTAACAGAGCCAGGGTGGATTTTGGAGCGTCCACCACCGCATCGTCCGCGTCCGCCATCACAGACATGCCAGACATGGTCATACAATACCTGCAATTTGAGGAGCTTATCTACCGGTAACCGTAACAGCACATGTGCACAGTAGCCTCCATGACTACCTACAGTACGCATTTGTTCTAACCCTTCCTCTTCTCAATCTATATGTTATAATTTTGCAGATATATTCCCAGTAAGCCATGAACGGAGACCCCCGGCCCCCTCGACTAAGGCCTCGGCCTTTGGCCTTTTTTTTTAGTTTGGGGAATCCATAAATAAATAAATAAATAAATAAACCTGTATCCCCATCATATGCACACCCATAACAGTGAGTTACCTGTATGCTGTTTTTTTCCACTACAACAGGAACCTTAAACCTTAGGCTTTGCAGCTTCCAGGAAGAAGTATGTCACCATGGTCGCGGGAGGGACAATCAGTCGGTGAATCAGGTTAAAATACTGTACTCCTTGGTACGCAAATATCGACTCGACTTGGAGTCAGCACGGGGTGTTTGGGTGTCGACGAACCACTCCGTAGGCTGCAATCCATCTCTCCGATGCCCCTAACCTCACTGCCCCCCCCCCCTCTCTCTCTCTCCCGCTTTGAAATTCGCTTCCATAGGCCACCCTTGCCCGTTTGGCCTTGCAAAGTAGAATAACAATCAACAACAACAATGGCACACTCGGCTTCATCGGGGAGGGCTATTGGAGGGCTATTGCCGACACCCACACCACTGCTAGTCTATAATCTGGATGCACCTATACAATACAAGTACAAACTAAGATGTTGCGACCTTGGCGGTAATTGGTGAAGAAAGTGTTCGCTCCAAACGTCGGAGCTCTCGCATCCTGCCGACTGACTCACAACTGCCATCCGGAGCACACGAGAAGCCGTCGAACCTTCCACTCGGCTAACCCGCAAGAAAGCACCACTCCCTGCTCAATACACAGTGTTTCGGGGAATTCACCCCTCATCAGTTGAGCTTGAGGCAAAGACAATGAAAAAAACACACCTGGAATCAAATAAGTGTTGGCTGGTGTGTGGATCTTGAAGGTTGCTTCACGTACACACAGTCCAATACTATCTAACTAACAGAGATACCAAAGTAGAAATGTCACATAGTGGTGAAGCGGTAAGTTACTACTATCCCATGAAGAAAAGAAATGATAGGAAAGCAGCAGTGGTTACAGCTAGAAGGAGTCAACAGCATCAGAACGCAGCCTGCAAAGCCCCACTGACATCCGCGAAGATGAATGTGTTAAAAAATAGTAAGTTAAAAATACTATAAAATAGACTGCTTTGCATGCACAAGTTATGACGTGTGGTAAGAAAAAAATCGTAACACACACTCACACTCACATACCAACTTGCATGAAAACCCAGCAGCGGGATGAGAATAAAAGGACAATTCACAGTACGACAGCCACTGTTATTGCCAATGCGACAGACCAGACGGCTACCTTGAACGGAAACATTGCACAAATCCTGCATGGACGGCATGATTGCAGGGCATGCAGGGAATTAGAATAGCGTGCCAGTGATTCCAGCACCATGGCCATCTAGTCCAACGGTGCACATGTGCTGCAGCCACATGAATCAAGCACAGCTTATTGACCGCACCGGGAGAGAAGGCACTGACTGGGTACATACATGTTCAGGGCACTGACATCACTGACATACACACACTTCTCACTGGATACATACATGTTCAGGGCACTGACATACACACAGTGCTCTCGTACGCACAGGGAGCACTGACGGCCACACAATGCTCTCATAGGGAATTCGAAACACTATGGCACGCCGGCATATCACTGTTGTGCATTGATTTCATCCCATTTGCTGAAAAGTCCATCGAGAAGGTCGGCGGCATTGTCCTTGACGACAAGCAGTCTGTCAACTCTCTCTGCCCGTTCCGGGTCGTCCAAGCCCTCCTCTTTAGCTTTCTTCCGCTACAGCACGCAAGCGAATACAAACAGAGGCAGGAGTTGAGCCCCATGCAATCAGGGTAGTCACATATCGTCGGCCCATTTACAAAGGCAGTGACCGTCTGTTTGATTGCAAATCACCTTGACCCCAGCTACTCTACTATCCAAACCAAGCAAAGGGCACTGCTGGCATCGTGTCACTGACCAGAGGACACATTAGCACTGGCACTGACATGCTTGCACCATGACAGTCAGTGATCATAGCACATGCTTACAGAAAAAGTTGTGAATTTTAAACGATTTTCCAAAAATCCGTGCGTTGACAGGTAGAAATTTGCAACGATCTTGGAGTTTTAAAAAAAAGGCACATCCGTGCGTAAAATAACGTACGTTCTACACTACTCGACCATGTTCTACACTACTCGACCATGTTCTACACTACTCGACCATGTTCTACACTACTCGACCATGTTCTACACTACTCGACCATGTTCTACACTACTCGACCATGTTCTACACTACTCGACCATGTTCTACACTACTCGACCATGTTCTACACTACTCGACCATGTTCTACACTACTCGACCATGTTCTACACTACTCGACCATGTTCTAACTACACTACTCGACCATGTTCTACACTACTCGACCATGTTCTACACTACTCGACCATGTTCTACACTACTCGACCATGTTCTACACTACTCGACCATGTTCTACACTACTCGACCATGTTCTACAGTACTCGACCATGTTCTACACTACTCGACCATGTTCTAACTACACTACTCGACCATGTTCTACACTACTCGACCATGTTCTACACTACTCGACCATGTTCTACACTACTCGACCATGTTCTACACTACTCGACCATGTTCTACACTACTCGACCATGTTCTACACTACTCGACCATGTTCTACACTACTCGACCATGTTCTACACTACTCGACCATGTTCTAACTACACTACTCGACCATGTTCTACACTACTCGACCATGTTCTACACTACTCGACCATGTTCTACTGTACTCGACCATGTTCTACACTACTCGACCATGTTCTTCACTACTCGACCATGTTCTACACTACTCGACCATGTTCTACTGTAATAGTGCGTCTCTAATACTACTGCTCAATGAAATCTGATCAAGCGAGTCCAGCCAGGCTGTGCAGCCCTAGACCTGCGAACCGTGCTGGGTTGTGAACTGGTGCAGGGCGCAAACTGGACCAACTGCGCAATGTCACGTTGATAGTACGTCTCTATTCGCAGTATATGTACATGCTAGGATGACGGAATGGGTGTCCAACGTGACAAAATTTGAGAAAAGATGGTGTTGAATATACTTCCTCCACACGCATGCAGGGTCAGAGCGACGTCCACAAGGTACCTGCATGCAGGAGTCATGTAGCACCTTTGTTTCCTTGACTTCTACGGTGGCAGATAGTGCGTTGGATTCGTGCTGCGTGGAGTGTTCCAAACCATAAGTTCTGGGTTCAATTTTCGTCTTCATTGTGGAGTTTGAGCAAAGCTCACAAGGAATGAGTTGCTGTAAGAGGATGAAGAGGTCGTATACGATGTAAAAGAAGCTTGAGACGGTACAGTGGGCCAGAAAGCATCCAACGCAGCGGCTGTGAAAAAGTTCAGAGATTTGTAACCTCAGATATCATGCACATCTTGTAACCAGGCTGAAACAGCTACCCCCCCCCCCCTTATCATAAACACACAATCTACGGATCATAGAAAGGAGTGTAACAGTATGCCACTTGAGACTGGAGTATTTGTCTGACACACGTGGACACGCACGCACGCACACACACACACACACACACACACACACACACACACACACACACACACACACACACACACACACACACACACCGTCCAAACACTAACAAACTGACTAGTATCGGTAAAGTTGACTCAAACCCTTACCCAAGCCAGTATATGTCCAAAGTAGTCGTCACAATTGAGGATACCAATCGGCTTCTGATGCATGCTTAGAGCCGCTCTATAAAAAACAAGGAAACACAGCCAATCGGAAAGAGGGTAAGTCCCTTTTCTGATTGTTCGCGTGGCTATCGAGTCCATAATACGAGGAGTCTGAGCAAATTTGACCTTTTTTACTCTGGAACTAACTTCGACGTGGCTAGAACAACCACTTTGTGGTGCAAGCGGCAAAAACAGCGTTTAAGGGTAGGGAATGCTTGTGACCGTGTCCGCACACATACACTGCATACATTAGACAAGTGTTGTGCAGCCAGTGAAGTATCTGTCATTTCACAGCTCAATCCATATCCCTCCCTCCCTCCTCTCTCTCTCTCTCTCTCTCTCTCTCTCTCTCTCTCTTTCTCTCTCTCTCCCTCCCTCCCTCCCTCTCTCTCTCTCTCTCTCTCTCTCTCTCTCTCTCTCTCTCTCTCTCTCTCTCTCTCTCTCTCTCTCTCTCTCTCTCTCTCTCTCTCTCTCTCTCTCTCTCTCTCTCTCTCTCTCTCTCTCTCTCTCTCTCTCTCTCTCTCTCTCTCTCTCTCTCTCTCTCTCTCTCTCTCTCTCTCTCTCTCTCTCTCCCTCTCTCTCTCACTCTCTCTCAGTAACAGAATATCTTTTCTGCTATACGAGTCGTTGCAATGAGTAACTTAATGCAGCAATCCAAAGCCTATAGACATACCGGCGATAGCTCACATTCGTGCCAAGTGAAGTTTTCTCTAATTATTGCAGATGGCGGAATTGTGCAAGCCGTTTCATACTGATCAAAACAAGCATGCGTAAAAACAAGGGATGATGTATATTTAATGTCCAGAGCAAGCACAACTTCAACTACACACGTCGCCATACAAATGCTTCAGTCAGCATTGCAGACGCTGACTTAGGCGGCATCTTACTCGACTAGGACTTCAGTCAGTTCGTCCAGGGTGCCGAACCCACCGGGCAGCGCCACAAACGCATCGCCCTGAACGAACACGACAGCAAAGAAGATCACATGCCAAGGAGGTATAAGAGTGGCTCAACCAGGTGCGATCATATCCTAGACACGCAAGCACTGACTGAGTGTTTAAATTGTGATAATAGGGGACAGCCCTACAAGCTATGAACGTATATTCTATATTGAAACTGAGTGTAAAAACCACACAAGAGGCATCCAACATGGCTGCATACATGTAGCAATATTGTGATCAGTAGAATGGTGATTTTGCCTGCAAGTGTCCACTCCTCATACTGACAGTGTCTGGTGGAAAAAAGGGGAGTGGGAGGGAGGGCACCAATGATTGAATGCTGAGTCCTCAATGCATTGTCTACATATCGCTGCGGAAGGGGAGGACTCATATAACTGGGGGAATGGCAGGGGAGGGGTCATATAGCCGGGGAAGGAAGTGTGTGTGGGGGGATTGAACTTGATGACACTTTAAAGGGGAACTCCACGAAAAAATGAAACTTTGATAGCCTGTAGAGTTTCGGGCGCTGAGTCGAATGGTCTTGGTCCGAAGCCTCTACGACGAAGCGTTCTTGAGATATTTCACTTTGAAATTGCAAAAACGGGGCCGCGCCCTGACGTCATGCGGCCATTTGGTTACATCATCACGGGCTGCCTACGTCATTGTGGCATAGTCGTTTCTCTTCGCCAGTCTACAAGCACTAATTTTAGTTGGTATTTCAAGGGAAGATGGGCGATTCCGAACAATCCTCTGTCCCCAGCAATGAAGGCAGCGATGCTGAGGCCAGTGAGGACGACCAACAGCCCACCGCCGCGTATGGTTGGGGCAGGGAGCCCAGATACTCTGCTGAGGAGCTGCCATCGCGTGTAACAAATGTTGAGGAAGAAGATGCGTCAGCAGCTGCGTCCGACAGAAGACGAGTAGCTTGGCCACCAGAATCTCGATTCGTTTGGGACTCCGACTGGTGCGAGCGTGGACAAAAGTGTATAGCCATGCCCAGCCAGCGGGAATGATTTTGCTGGTAGGATGCTGCCGTCGCTGTCGACAAGATGGCCCAAGGTTTCTTGCGTAGCGGACCTCGCAGATTACGAGATCGTATCCTTGCATTAGGCTGTGCCCACCACTGCTCTTCGAGGTTATCTCGACATGCAGAAGCCGCCAATGCCAGTGACAGAAGAGTCTGACATTACGTAAGCCTCAATTAGTTTGCCTTGACTTGTCTTGTGAGGATCGCGTATCAGCATGATACACTGTACACTTATTTTTTTGGGGAAATTTATTGTTGTCAGGCGCACTACAATAGGCGTCGCACAAGAAAGACATTGTACTGGTAGTTATCACAAGTTTCATGCATGACACAAACAAATTTCTCTTTGCTGCTCCGAGTATGTCTTGACTTATCTTGTGAGGATCGATGCGCGTAATGTTTTGTGTAACTTATTGTTGTCAGGCATAGCACGAACAACGTTGTACTATAGTGCTAGTAGTTATCACAAGTTTTCATGCACGACTCAAACACATTATTTTGTCTTTGTCATTTTCCCTTGGATTGGTACAAGATCTGCAAAGTATGGTAGTGTTCTGTTGGTGAAGAGAGCACTGCACACAGTTTATGAGCACCATGGGTGCATTTGATCACACCCGAACCCAGACTTTATCGTTTCAAGCGATAGACTTTGTCAATAAACTCGTTCCATGGCATGCAACGTACAAGCGTGGGGTCAAGAAAGCGTACACCAAAATAATGCACAAATTCTGGCAGGAGAGTAAGACATCTGTACTTTCTGACCAAGACATCTCTGTACTAGTAGGTAATCGAACGCGTCCTAATCAGTATTCATCCCCCAGATCATTGGAATTCTATTTGAAATCAGCAATTATGGGAAATTCTACAAGACCCTCCATCTTTGTACCAGTGGACACTAAAGTAGTATGGCGCGCGCACTGAAAGTGCAGGTAGGTACCGGTAGGTGCAATACAGCGCATATGTAGAGTAAATGAGTATTTGACTATAATAATTATTACGGTACAGCAATGTGGTATGTGTACAAGCACTCATCATACACATTCCATATGACATTCTGTGTTTGTGTAGATCTCTACGCTATGCGGCACACAGGCAGTACACACTATGTACACGGCAAATTGGGCAAGCACGTTCGTGGTCGTCTTCCAGCCTGCGTTGTGAATACCATCAGGCAAAGATATCCAAATCCTGCACCACCTCAGCCTTCTCAGGAGGCTTCCACCTGGAATTTGGCAGGGAAACCTGCTTCTCCAAAGCAGGAACATCGAGGTTGCCATTTGCAACCGCTACCACCTCACACATGAGCTTGTCAACATACTCATAGCTCTTTCTGTCGTATAATTTTCTATTTGGCCACAGTCTTCTTTATGCTTTGAGAACTGGACTTTATACCTTCCTATCGCGGTCTTTTTGGTTGTGCTGTGACGACGGTTGACATTGACGTCGTCAAGAGCTGCGAGATGTGCGTGTCCAATCATCCCCAGAATTGAGAAACGAATGCGTTTGAGAATGTAGTTCGGCATGACACTGTGATATACCTGCATGGCAAAAAGAATGTGGAGAAAACACACTTGCTTAGACAATATACTGCTGTATGGGAAAATGGAAACTTCACCGTACAGGACCACTCTTGTTCTCAATTGCACGTTTCATTCCCTGTGTTGCCCATAAGAGACGGGACCAAAAATGTTCAGCAGATGTTTGTTGTCTTCTGGCGTGGAGTGGCGGCGTCATTAGATGTACACATATTCATTTCACTAAGTACACCACTACTACATCATAATGTACTATCCTTAGGCTAGCGTACGTGCGATGGAGTTTGAGTATGTGGGTGCGTATGTGTGCGAGTTGTTGTGTTTGTGTGTGTGTGCACGCACACGCGCGCATGTGGGTGAACGTGTGAGTGCATGTGTATAATATGTGTAGTTCCCACTGTATTCCTTGCACAATAGGTCTTCACTTACTTTTCTTTCGCATACAACCAGAACCCATTCCTTGTTCGAAATTAGATTTTTTTGGCCTGGTGATCCCGCAAGCGTGGAACTCGGAGTGTAATAATTTTTTGTTTCACCTTACTTGCACTATTCCTAGGCTGTCCAGACTTCTAACAACTGCTCTGAGTGATATGATATTCATGCAACCATGCCTAGAAGTAGGGTAGCTGTTATAAATAGAGACATATCCACGCAATCAACTTACACTGGTTCGGTTTGGCAGGATTGGTGAGACAGTTCGTCGTGCATGCTGCCTGCACATCGCAAGCAAACAGTTCTGTAACCTTCGTACTTGCTGGGGGTCTGTCTGTTTGCGTCCCAGTTGATGACAGATGTGCACAGTTTAGTACTGGTATGCGCAAAGTTACTGGGGTAATATCGTTCATCAGCTAGCTGCAGTCGGAGTTGATGGGGTGATGTACTCTTCTGATCCTGATGGAACGTATCTCGCCCTGCTTTCTCAGTTGCAGCTTGTTGAGTTCGCTTTGCTGGAGGCTCACGGTTTGGAGGGCACTGGTACACTGATGAGGGCTTTCCTGGACGGCGTACTCGTCAAAACTCAGCTCTCAAGTCCCTCTGGATCATAAATGCAGCGAGCAAACATAGCTCGTGCTGCGAAAATAGGCTTGAAATTTTCACGACGCATTGCAACATCTCGGCGCTTTGGCAGGTCTCCATCCTTTGGGAATCTAAGAAAACTAACACCAGGAGGATGATATGATACTGGCACAACCAACAACACAACAATTTGGCATTGCAGCGGCTCAGGCGACTTGGCAAACTACTTTCTGAAGTGATTTTCGTCCTGAAGAAAGTGAGATTCAAAATCCAAGTATTTTCGCACCATGCCACAATGACGTCACACATACATTGGTATGGGGCGTGGCTAAAATTGAAATATCTCAAGAACGCTTTCTCGTAGAGACTTCGGACCAAGACCATTCGACTCAGCGCCCGAAACTCTACAGGCTATCAAATTTTCATTTTTTCGTGGAGTTCCCCTTTAACTACCAGCATTCACTATTGCTTTTAGCATTCGGACGCCTAACAAAACACTACTTGCCAGGATCATCATTTTGCGTCTTCTGTCTGACAGATTTTTCTCCACATAGACTTCCCAGGACTTCTTGGCTCGGTATTCCTCTTTCTTGTTGGCTGTAGCAAGAAAGAGCATTCAGTTCTGTGAGATGCTGAGGTTCAGCTCTGCCAGCCAAGGAATACATCAGCTCCCAAGAGTGTGCAACTCTACTTGTGGGTTCTATATAAATCAATATAAAATAAACACAGCAGCCACTGAAACCTCTCACCATGCAGTGGTGTTCATGCATGTGTCCGAGGCGAGTTGTAGCGAGCATAAACGAGTGGCAGATCCGCACGGTGCATTAACTGATCACCGCCGTGCGCAGTACAAAGTGTATTAGAAGCGGTCCTTCAGCCCGTGATGTGTTCTTTCGCCGATGGAGACCCCGTATGCAGAGTTGCACACTCTTGGAATAGTATTATCCCCGTATGCAGAGTTGCACACTCTTGGAATAGTATTATCCCCGTATGCAGAGTTGCACACTCTTGGAATAGTATTATCCCCATATGCAGAGTTGCACACTCTTGGAATAGTATTATTCCCGTATGCAGAGTTGCACACTCTTGGAATAGTATTATCCCCGTATGCAGAGTTGCACACTCTTGGAATAGTATTATCCCCGTATGCAGAGTTGCACACTCTTGGAATAGTATTATCCCCGTATGCAGAGTTGCACACTCTTGGAATAGTATTATCCCCGTATGCAGAGTTGCACACTCTTGGAATAGTATTATCCCCGTATGCAGAGTTGCACACTCTTGGAATAGTATTATCCCCGTATGCAGAGTTGCACACTCTTGGAATGGTATTATCCCCGTATGCAGAGTTGCACACTCTTGGAATAGTATTATCCCCGTATGCAGAGTTGCACACTCTTGGAATAGTATTATCCCCGTATGCAGAGTTGCACACTCTTGGAATAGTATTATCCCCGTATGCAGAGTTGCACACTCTTGGAATAGTATTATCCCCGTATGCAGAGTTGCACACTCTTGGAATAGTATTATCCCCGTATGCAGAGTTGCACACTCTTGGAATAGTATTATCCCCGTATGCAGAGTTGCACACTCTTGGAATAGTATTATCCCCGTATGCAGAGTTGCACACTCTTGGAATAGTATTATCCCCGTATGCAGAGTTGCACACTCTTGGAATAGTATTATCCCCGTATGCAGAGTTGCACACTCTTGGAATAGTATTATCCCCGTATGCAGAGTTGCACACTCTTGGAATAGTATTATCCCCGTATGCAGAGTTGCACACTCTTGGAATAGTATTATCCCCGTATGCAGAGTTGCACACTCTTGGAATAGTATTATCCCCGTATGCAGAGTTGCACACTCTTGGAATAGTATTATCCCCGTATGCAGAGTTGCACACTCTTGGAATAGTATTATCCCCGTATGCAGAGTTGCACACTCTTGGAATAGTATTATCCCCGTATGCAGAGTTGCACACTCTTGGAATAGTACTATTCACGTGGTGACAATGCACTAAGCTAGGACATACGTGTACTGATACTCCAGCAGGCAAGAAACATCTTTGTATCCCCAAGCCTTGCCAAAGGCGGATGAAGTCACGTGCAACATCTAGGGTTTAGCCCGCACCGGGAAATACAAAACAAATTTGCAGATGCCAATGTTCCCATCAGAAGGAGAACAGAACGGTGCCTGGTCTTTCCCGGACATTAACATCTCTCGCAACAAGAAAACTAATAGCCTGGACATGACCATTTCTACCAGAATCTGACCTTTACCGGTTTGTATTTTCCATGGTTGAGTTACACGCCAACCAAGTTGGAGCCTTGTTCTAAGCCTCTAGTGCATCATTTCTTTTTAATAGGGCTCAAACGGTTAGTCCGATTAACCGGTTGCAGACCGGTTACGAAGAATTAACGGTTAACAGATAAAGATACCGGTTACGCAGTAACTTTTCAGTCAATTTTTCAAGTATCAGGTCGTTGCAAAGTATGCACTTTCGCAGGCTGTCGCACACGTACGCAATTTCTGGGCTGTCAACTCGGTCATATCTGGTCTCTTGGTGTGAGAGTACATGTATGTATGAATGAGCATGCAAGAGAATGTACCTGTGTGCGTTGTACTGAATAGGGTACATTTTTTGAATGAGTCTTAGTCAAATGTACAGTTAAAAAAGAGTTCGCAGGATTACCGTGGCTTATAGGTTATAACCGTTAAACCGACCGTTAGCTTAGCAGTTAACCGTTAGGGGTAAAACCGTGACCATTTGAGCCCTACTTTTTAATAAAATGGATTCACAAACTCCATAGCCGCTACCTACCCATCACCTACTAGTCTGGACACTCACTCACATAATAATCACTGTATCTTTGCTGCAACAATCTCTCACCACTGATCCACCAAAGGTTCAGGCATGGCCCATCCTCAGGGCAAACCACTAAACCTTAAGCGGAACAACAACGAAATGGAGCAGCTACCTATTCTGTAAAGTCTTCACCGGCTCAAAAAAAAAAAGGCTTGAGCAACCTTGGAAAAGACAAGGCTTGAACAACCAACACGCTTTATGGAAGGGAAGTACTTTTTTTTAAGGAATGCCCAATTTATCGGCTGCAAGACAATACCTTCAAATTTGGGTATTGTTATGCCAATAATACGCCCATTCTCGGCTTCCACTCCCGCTGAGAGCTCGCCCATAAGGCCCAGCCGACAGCCTCCAAACACCAGCGTCAAGTTCTTGGATGCCAAGAGAGTGCCGAATGCTACAGAGAAAGAAATCAGACACGATGATAAAGGTGCATAGTTTACTGCAATTTTAGACACCGCCTTACAGTAAAACCTTGCATCCATATGCCCAAAACTAACTTGCGTCCACGGACACGATATAAACTTCCAGTCAGCTTGATCGTCACTTCACAACGTAATGAAGGCAGCGGACCACACAGATCGGAGATGCTGATCATAGTTCCATACTATTGAGGCGGGGTAAGAGACTCTGGCTGGTATGCATTGTTTTCAAGGAAATGCGGCATCTACTAGTACCTCCCAAATACTTGTGTAATATCAATGACCTGTCACTGCATGCATGAATGAATTCACATTTTTAGAACTACAAATTACGCCAAGCACTACAATATTTCCCCATCGACACTTACCATGTTTGCCGGACTATAGTGCGCACTTTAGATGCGCTATCTCAGGCCCCAAATCGCAGCTGCGCACTACGCGGCTCAGGATAGGAGAATGCATGCGCTTCGAAAAGTACGTGGTGCAATGAAACTGTTGCGAAGCCACCTCGGAGTGTCTGACCTCGGAGTGTCTGACCCCCGCGCAAGCCATATCCGTGCATTTGTGGTGTCTTCTGCCAGCTACACTACAAGTCAAATGCAAGATGGGTACGAGACCCATAGCCAGCATAGGTAGCACGTGCATTATAAAAATCGCTGCACATTTTAATAATTGTATAATTTTGCCAATGGTCGCACTATAATACTGCTTTTATAATCCATTAATTTCTCAAATCTACATTATACTCTGGATTTGTCTTGATTTGCCAAAACGTTCATCAAACGCTCATCAAAAAAAAAGGGGGTGCGCAATATGCTCAGGTGTGCGCTATACTCCGGTAAATACGATATGTACATGGCATCAACGATAAAGTCACGAGTGCATACCTTTAGCCTCCCGTTGGAACTTTTCATTGCGAGGTACCTGCGAGCCACAGTAAACGGTAACGTATTCCATTCTTGTGAATTTTCACAACTAATGAATATTCTTATTTTACGAATAGAAGTGACTGACAGTGAGACACACGATACCGAACTAATAAAACCTTTCCAACCTGGTCACCAATACCGGTAAGTTATTGCAGACGTGTGAAAGGAGATTGCTAGCTAGATGTGCTGAGCTTATGAGGCTGAGAGAGAGAATTGATCCAAATGAAAAAAATATCTTTGGCCTGGCATGGCATGCTGAATTCAATTTTTTGAATGTACAATAGCCATTGGAACACCTCAGCCAGCGGGCGAGATCGGTACGACTGTACAATAATGTTCTAATCTAAGACTACTATTACGTCATGGGCGCAGATGGATGAGTCACATGACTGTACAATCATGTGATTCATGTCATAACCATGACATGACAGTCATGTCGATCGACACGCGACAGTCCATCCCTAGGCCCTGGCCGAAAAATGTTCTGAATTTTTTTGCATTTTGGGGTACATTTTGCATTTTTGCATTTTTTCTGAATTTTGCCCATTTTCGGTCGAATTCCAAGGTTTCAGCCAAGGTTTCAGCTCGACCAAATCAAGTTCGGCTTGCTTCTGTCCCTCTTGGTTGCGACTCTAGACTTACTTAGTTGCACTGGCCTCCTAATCACACAAATGCGAACACGTGGGTGTTTAGTTCTACATGTACATGCAGGTGTAGATGTAAAACTACGAAGATGTGTTCTAGTAGTGTAGTAGTACATGTGTACTAGTAGTACAGGTAGTATGCAACTTGCAAGCTAAGGGTAACACAAGTGACTTGCAATGGTGAGAAAATGATTAGCTTTGCAGGCTTGTCAGGCAATGTCAGCAAAAGGGGTGACAAGATTATGATCATGCAGTGCGTGTACATGTGACATGATTAGAGGTACATGTACATGTGTACTAGCAAGGCAGGGATACTACATGTATATATGTACAGTGTGACATGGAAAATTAACCATGGCATGGCGGCCATTTTAGATTCTGGTTGCCATGGCAACGGATGCATTTTCTCTGCGTTTTGGGTTGTTTGGCTTTGATTTTTTAAATTTTTTTACATTCCCCTTTGATTTCTTGTTTGAATGTTGGCTGGAAAACCGTGCATTTTGCATTTCCATTTTCCGCAAATTAAAACACCTTTTTCGGACAGGCCTAATTCCTCAAGCGTTCCATCGAGACTTATGTAGTATCCCTGCTTTACAGTTTACACATGACTAGTAGTACATGTATTTTGCATGACTCTTATTGTTTAGAAGCATACAGTACTTCCTACATTTACGATTGTTATTCCATGATCCTTGCATGGCGCCACTACACACTGGAGAGTAGCTAGACCAACACTAATTATCAGTAGTCTTCATTGTTTCCAAAATACAATACTTGTGCCGCTATGCTTCATTTGCAAGAGGTCCTTGTGCAGTTGTATGGACTTATCTTCACTGCGATATCAGCTTCATGCTCCAATGCTTCCTTTGTAGCACTGAGGCGTGCTGCGAGTAATCAATGGCATTTCCAGGTTGCTTGCTACACTATCACATACATTCTTTAGCTGTTTTGCTGCCTGCTGCTTGTTTCCCGCAATAGACACCAGCTGAAGCTTCCTAGCTGGCCCCCTTGCCAACGGCCTTGTTAGATTCTGTATAAGTAGTTCTCTAGTTTTGTATCTCAGAGAGTCGTGGAAGAGAGAGATCAGAGAGAGAGCAAGTTCACTTTCACTTTGATATAAGATAACCTCCAGGCCGTGCCGGAGTAAGTTCTGATACGTTAGTTGACTGACTGTGGGTAGTTGCCTCCTAGCCTTAGACCACGCACACTACACTTACACTGATTTTTGCGATCTTTTTCTTGAGAACGATTCTCATAAAGACTAAGTACTTGTCCAATCTTGTGTTGTCTTCTTCACTAGCACTGATGGGGGGGGGGGGGGGGGCTTGTGACTGACCGCTTTCAGGTCACCGTCAGATTTCAGCTTTTTGATGTAGGCAGCAAACACTTTGTTGCACTCTACGAACTCGATGCCGGTTATGATGTTGATGTTACGCTTGTGATTGTTTAGCTCTCGTTGGATAGCGTTTCTAAACGACACTAAGCTTGACTTCGCATAAGGGGCGCCTTTCTGTGTTTTGAGCGAAACATACGCAAACTTCAAAATGCTAGCTAGATGTGAAGCGGAAACTGACGTCAGATCACACTGTTTCTTCTCTGCCACAAGATAGTCACTAAACAGTTTCAGCCAATTCTTCGTTGAATTCTTTGCGTTTTTGTTTTCCTGTTCCCACAGCATCTTCTCAACATCTTGCTCGCTCACTCGCACAAATCGTGAGTTGACAGCTCGTTCACGGACACCATGTTGTGTCTCAACTCGAACGACGCTGGTGGCTTGAACTTGGTTGATTGGTTCACCGTCCAAGTCAGCTAGCATCTCGGTCAGGATATCCGGGTGTACGTCCAATATTTGAGACACATCGTCAGGAAGCTCACACAGAAGTCCTTCTTCCTCAGCCATCGTCAGCGCTCCTTCACACCACAAGTAACAATGAAAACGTTTTGGTGGTGTGGTTTGCTTTGTTGGTATGTGCAGTGGTGCAGAAGTGAAAGGACCCGGGGTGCGGGGCGCGGGGGGGGGGGGGGTACGGGTGTGGTGGGTGCGGAAGTGTACGCGTGTACGATTTGTATGTGTATGTGTACAGTGTGTATGGGGTCAAATGCCGGGCAATATCGTGTAATATTGGACCGCCTGAGCGGGCTTGTATGTAATATTGCCCGCTCTATCTGGTCGCTGATTGGTTGTAGACCTGGAAATGGTCAGCATGTAATAAAATACTTCAAACTGCTTTCAAGTAACTTGTTCAGACGTGGAACCTGACCAGTACTGGTGGTATCACATTAAACTACGCTCTGCTTCATCTCGTGCTGGACAATCTAGTGATTTACAACTGTAGTGACCGGTGGATTGACTGCATGTGCATGTACATGTACTGTATACCCAAACACATTTTTTAGTAGCCCGTCGTCTAAATAGGCGACATGGAGACAACTACTTATTCTCACACTTGTCTTTAGAGAGGTTCCGGGGTACGATTTTCCGTGCCAAAATCCGTATGGGCGCTACGGATTTTTTCCAGACGTGCTCCATACGATTTTTCGGCACGAAGAATCCGTGTGGACTGGCTTTCATACGGACCATGTTTCGTATGGAGATTTTGCGTCATCGGGTGCAGAAAGATTTTTCGCGTACAAATTTGGTACGAGAAACATCGACTTTCCGCGGGAAGTTTTGATTTCGGTACAAATTTCCAAAATAGAAAGGCATAGCGCGGGAATGTGACGTGTTTGCGATCGTAACCTAGGCAATGACGGCAAACACATACGTTCCGTGCCCCGGAACTTTTCACTGCTCGAAAACGACGTATAAAATATCCGTAGCGCCTCCACGGATTTTGGCACGAAAAATCGTACTCCGGAACCTCCCTTTTGTCTTTGATTGCTTCCGTAGACTATGATATTTCAGAGTTCAGTACTAGCAAGAATCCATTTATGGACTCTTGGTACATGTACTAGTATGTCATCAGTCCTTCTTCGTACATGAACCAGTTAAGGTCAGATCAAAGGTCAAGGGTTCAAATAGACTGATGTGCCATATAGATATAGGTATCCCAGATAGCACCTCCGGTTAAATCTTGGGATTGCCGAGCTTGCGACCTACTTGTAGGTCGTGGGTTCGAGTCTCGTCGGCGACACACAAGGTCTGGTTCATATATGGCTTAGGATCCGAACCAATTCCTCCCTGTTGTGTGTGTTCGCAGGCGGGTTTCAACGTGGATTTCGTGTGAGTGGATCGGCTGGATCATGAAACGTGAGGGAACGGCTCGTTGATCTGGACTTTCGATTGACGCCTTCTTTTTTTCTTCTTTTTTCTTCTCTTTTTTTCTTTTTCAGTGTTGTCTTCTTACCAGTTTACATGCAACACGAAAAATGGCTCCAAACTGATCCAGCGGACGTGAAAGAAGTTGGTAGAGGAGGACATACGAAGGCCGTCGCCCCTTGGCTCCCCCAGCCCAGGGACCTTTCGTGCATCGGCAAGATATGAGTGTTGCCTGTCGGCGGTGATTCATGCGTTCATTCATGACTTCCACTGGAAATTCGAATGACGTTCCTCAATCCGAGAACGATAAGTACATCGATATGTCCAGAGTAACTGCTCATACATTTGAGTACATTACAGGGAGTGGTGGTCACGGCACAACACCCACGCACACCTGCCTTTCAGCCTCATACATAGAACCTACAAGAGCAAGCAGCTGTACTGTGAGGCTGCGTATCTTGGGAATCAGCACTGGCGCATGGCTGAGCGACGAGTGATGTCTCCACCAATGTGAGATCTGGAAAGAAGCACGGCCACTGAAGACACTTCTGCCTGACGTGGTGGGTGGAAAGGAAAGGCCTGGAATCTCGGCAGGAGTAAGCAGAGTGATAAACGTTAGTAGGTGATAAAAGGACGGCACGCTTCTTCCAGGCCGAGGCCGAGGGGACACACGTACTCGAGGGAGAAAGTATGTAGAATACTAGAAAGAGAGGAAAGGGGGGAAGAAGTGATGGAAGTATGGATAACCACCGATAGCCAACAACCATACCTTGCAGAAGATGCACGGGACAAGAAAATGAATGGCCTGGCTGAGGAAGGAGAAGAGAGGATGTCCTCCTCTGACTATCACCTGTTTACTGACTGTGCGTGTTGCATGTAAACTGCTTGCTTGCCCCCCCCCCCCCTCCTCGATCATGTCAAGACACACACACCAGGAAGGAAAAAGAAAAAAGAGAAGAAAAAAGAGAAAAAAAGAAGGCGTCAATCGAAAGTCCAGATCAAGGAGCCGTTCCCTCACGTTTCATGATCCAGACGATCCACTCACACGAAATCCACGTTGAAACCCGCCTGCGAACACACACAACAGGGAGGAATTGGTTCGGATCCTAAGCCATATATGAACCAGACCTTGTGTGTCGCCGACGAGACTCGAACCCACGACCTACAAGTAGGTCGCAAGCTCGGCAATCCCAGAATTTAACCGGAGGTGCTATCTGGGATACCTATAATCTATATGGCACATCGGTCTATTTGAACCCTTGACCTTTGATCTGACCCACACTCTGAGAGCCCTGAACAGGCCCGGTACCGGGTAGACGAAGGACATATGGGACAGATCAAAGCTCCCCATGGTTCATTACCCCGATGTGCCAGCACACCTTTTTGAAGGCTTTTTTGTTCTTTTTCATCTTTTTTTCTAATTCCTCCCTACAAGATCCCAGGTAGATCGAGGGAGCAGTTTCACCATGCAGCCAACCGCTTCTCCTTTCGGGCCCATCGCCCCCCTCCCCCCTTGCTCCCCCAGCCAGGTCACTTTCTTGTTTCGTGCATTGGCAAGGTATGGTCGTTGCATGTCAGTGGTTATTTATACATGTACGTTCATTACTTCCACTGGGAACTCGAAGGAAGTTCTTCGATCTTAGTACGATAAGAACATCGATACATTGTTCCAGAGCGACTGCTGAGACATTGGAGTACCTTATGGTGAGTCAACGCACACACTATCGCCGCACTCAAAACTACCTTTGAAGTTTCAGCCTCCGCATACATATTTTTAATAGACCCGGCGATGAAGAAACAAGAGCGAGCAGCTGTGAGGCTGCATTGTGCGAATCAGCGCTTGCTCAGTGACGGGTGATATCTCCACCAGGGAGTCGTATTTGACGACTCCCTGATCTCCACCAATGCTAGATCTGGGAAAAAGCACTGCCATCAAAGACATTTCTGGCTGACATAGTGGGTGGAAACTCTGGAAAGGGAAGGTCAGAATCTACAATGTAGGTATCAGTAAGTAGATAAAGCATTCGTTATTTCGGAACTGAATGGAAGGCAAGCTTCTTCCAGCGGACACAAATATTCGAGTGATGAAGTATTTCAAGTAGTAACAAAAACAAAATCAAAAAAGAATAATAACTCGGATATTAGGCAGTAGTGATTATGTAAAGAGAAAAGGACCTACATGTACCGTAAAGTACCGTTGATCCGCCCCCTCTCTAATTCCCGCCCCCTGTCGATTTTCTCCTTGTGAAGCGACTTTGGCGTATACAACGAAATACGATGTTGAACCGACACATGCACAGCTGTACACAATACTTGCCAATCCAGGATGAAAATGTGCACAATCCAGCACATTGAGTCTGATCCTCTACGTTGTTGTACATCGTACTGCACTTGACAGCCTTGATCTAATTCCCGCCCCCTGCCGAAAACCCAGCTGGGAAGCGACATGGCGTGGGGGCGGATCAACGGTACTTTACGGTATAAGTAGTTACTAGTTATGAATATGGTAAAGAAGCCTTGACTAACAGTCCACCAATGCACGATCTCACATATGCAAGCACTCGCACACTCGTACGCACTCGCACACTCGTATGCACTCACAGACTCGTACTCACCTTTACAAACTCGTACTCACCTTTACTCTCATACTCACCTTTACACTCTTATAGAGGACTTTCCAATGAGTCATACCGTGCGGCCTATGAGGATTCGGGCCAAAGATCATCGAGTTCACCACCGATCACCGGACTTGAAACGGAGCTTGGGTGGCAAAAAAAGAAGACTGCACTGGAAAGAAACAGTGTTTTTCGAAAGAAGTTCCATTTTGCATACATGTACGAGGGTACTGTAGTTTGAGAATACCAAAGGGCTGCTCGCGATCGGATGTTCCCACACCTGGATCGTCTTTGAGTTGTTATCGTTTTCCCTACGATGGAGAACGACGGAACCAGTGGATGACGGACACACGACTCGAGAACTTCGCTCCTTATGCAAATACTTCGAAGTACACGAATATTGTTCCATCACTTCGTTGGCGAAGAGAAAAGTCATGATCATCCCTGTCACCCCAGTACGTATCGAATTAACTAACTAACTTGTTCAGCTCATTTGTGGCAGCACCAGTAAAGGCGGAAACACGAAGATGATTCCGAACACTATCAACTTACTTAGTTTGTTGGGGTGCAAGGTATAGCTGGAGTTTGATGATTGATAGTGCTGATGCTGATAGTAATGACTAATGTACCCAGCTCTATTATGCACGTGCCTCTACATGACTGGTGGTGCTAGCTATAGTCTAGTACTGGCCCTGGGTGCAACTCCGGCATTATCTCTTCCATGCGAGTGTGTATGCTTCATGTTCTGCACAATGTGTATTTCCTTTGTCATGGATAAAATAATACCGGTACTCTGATCGACCTACTTGCGCAATCTTCTTCTGCTTCCCACTTGGTTGCTGCGCTGTGCAGTTCTTCATCTGCTGCGGCACATACTAGTATACCTCATCTTCTGTCTTTCTGGACAATTAGGTACATGTATTCAGCTTCTTGATCTTCTTGTGGTGAGGATCATCTGGATCTTACTTCTTGTGTAACTCTTGCAAAGGCAGTAATGGAGGACACTCTACCGGTAATCAGCAACTGCTTATGGAGAATGCCAGGTCGAGGGACGACCAGGAAAAAACAATTGCTGTATTGGATGTGCATTCATCAGCGTGTTTTAGGATCAGGACAACTAAGTTCGCCACTACACCAACTTTTTGGCTACATAGGACCAATGATGATGATGGCCGTGTTTGACTTTGTCAGCTTTCGTGCTACCAGCCACCGCATGTCAACATTGTCATACTCATACTGATAAGGAAGAAAAACCCACACACGCATGCACACACACGCACACACACACACATGGATACACTGACAGGCATGCAAAGCAAGAGAGACAGAGAGAGAGTCAGGCAGCGAAAGAGAAGTGAGACTACTTGTAGGTTATGGGCACGGTGCTCCAATTTCTGCCCAGCTGAAGTAAAATCCATGTACACTATTTTCGTGTAGTGTTCATTGACGGTGCCAGCCACTGGTGAGTGACCCAGTGGTGTAGGTGTTGATATTCAGCACACATCACATTTCAGTCTCCAACGTAAATTCAGTCAAAACAACACTGCACTGCAGCAACATGGGAGCATGCTTCTCCCAGGCCCACCATGCAAGTGCAGTGTGCGCCAAAAAACAATTCCAGGTAATTCAGCAGCTACCCAAGGATGGACAGGTTCGGCAAAAACACTCTGCGAGTGCCTGACGTTTGCAAACGAATTTTGTTGACAGTTGTTGTTTCTTCCTTCGATTGGGCAAGACACGATAATGTGCCAACCCAGTCAGCAATGACACACATACATTTGTATCCATCAGGGCTATTGTAAGACTTTAGAGAGTCCTTTGCATATGTGCTGGGGACATTCACTAAATATTTAGAGAGGCCTGGATACCCAACGCAGGGGGATTGGCTGAAAGGTCTTCGTCCATAGGTAAATATGGATCAATGTACTGGGCCCACGGATTCTGTCAATCTTCTCGCGGCAACGCCTCTTCAAGGCTGGAATAAACAGTAGAGTAACTGCGGCTAGTAATCCTCGCGACTTACCGAAACTATTCCCCACATCAAAGAAAAGCAAAAGTGCTTCACCACTGCGACGGCCTGCAACATCATTTTCAACCGTACACCGAACAACACATTTGATTCTCTTTTTGCCACCCAAGCACATTTTACCGTAGGACACGGACTTGTCTTATGGGTGATCTTTGGGTGGACACCGGGAAGGCGCCAAAAAGGTGATGTAATGGAAAGTCCTCTATACATGTACTCACCTTTACACTCTCGTACTCACCTTTGTTCCCTTTTTTAAAGGGAAACTGAACGCCAAAAATAAGTATGGCTTATCCGAAGGAGAATTGGGCACTGATTCCGATGAGCTATGTCTCGAGCCGATCAGAGAAGAGGAACCGTGTCAAATTTCATAAATAACACCTTCCATATTTGGAAAATGGGCTTGATGACGTGCGTACTGCTTAGCTGTCACCATGCTGTGCATGCTCAACAGTGTAATTGAATGGAAGAAAACAATTACTTTGGTGTTTTGCAGCTCTATTTCGTTCCCTGACGGTACCCAAATCTAGATGTAGGAATCTGTTGAGCAGGAGAGTGACACATGTCTTCCCGAAGGCTGTCCAGCCTGCAGTGGTGATGAAGAAGACACGAATAACACCCCAAGATCGATTGTAGCGAATTGAAAAACTCATGGTGAATTTGCTTCCACTCCAAGGCAATGTCGAGGTATGAAGGGTGCTTGTGCTGGCTTCCAAAGTGAAGCGGAGATGAACATGGCTTTGCATAGCTGTTGTTCTACGCCAACTTACCTACTCTTGCTGGTACCGTAGTGGTATATTGCAAATTTCGTGGATGAACAATTTGAGTCACTAGTGGCTAGTGAGCAACACTAACAGGTGAGATTTTTCAATTTGACAAAAATTGTTCTTGTTTGAGAACAGACGGTGGCAGTCATTAGACTCAGTAGGTGTCTCTCTGCGGCTTCTTTCCCTTCATCGATAGGGTTGTGCTTGAAGTCGAAATAAATAGAACATGTGGAACAAAAATCTGATCATGTAATTCGAATTTCAATTTCAAAGTATGTGTACATCAAATCACAAAAATTTCAATATGGTGCTGTCCACTGAAAAAGACTGGGGGCTGGCAGCAATGGAAAGGGTAGAAACGAAACCAGTAAAGTAGAGTATAAGGTAGAGGGAGTTGAAAACGGGAGCATTTCAGTTCGAAGTAGTGTCAATAGACAGCATTGTGTTGCATATGTTGTGAATATTGTGCGAATCTAATAATTGGCAGAGGGTAGTGATTAAGCAGAGTATTGTTACAACACGAGGTACTTTGTGAGCAGATAGCAATCAATATCACGACGTGGTTTAGACAGGAACTCATAAATGTCAAGAAATTGATAATCCAAAATTATTATTATTATCCCCTGAGTAGCATAATTATTATGGTGTTCTCCTGTGTTTACATGCAGAGCCTTGACGTTGCTGGACGAGCGACAATATAAATTACATAAACGTGTAGCTCATAATGTGGGATGACTGCCGTATTGCATTGCCAACGCAAACCCATCCTGTGTCAGTGCAGCCATCCAGCAACGTACTCCCCGGACCAGATGCCGCTGCAGCTGAACACCATGCCGATGGAAAGCCAGGAGTTGATGGCGAAGCATTCTGGTCTGCACAGTACAAGGCAAAGAACAATAATATTATGAATTATAACGCATTGTAATCCTTCCCACACATCTTTGTAAAAACAAACAAACAGTGCCATTATCACAACACTTGATCAAGCATCTTGATGGAGGTATTTTCCATTGTGCTGGCCCAGCATCTGCACCAGGAAGACCATGTACACTTACAAGTATCTTGTGTGTGTGTGTGTGTGTGTGTGTGTGTGTGTGTGTGTTTGTGTATCCGTCTGTGCACACGTGTGTGTGGGGGGGGGGGGGGGCTGGGGGTAGACGCATATGTGTATGGGTAGGAGTGTGTGTGTGTGGGGGGGGGGGGGGGTCACACACATGTGTATGGATGTGCGCGTTGCATGCGTGTGTCTGTGGGATGGGGTGGGGGTGCACGCACATGTGTCCATGTGTGCGCGCAATATAGAATGTGTGTATTGTTTCGTTGAACACAGGGAGTCCTCCTGATTCCATAAACTTTGTGATCATTGTGATTTTATGTGCTTTGAAGTTGAAATTCGCAATACATGTACTGATGCTTGATTAGATTTTATGTTCCACATGTTCTATTTATTTAGTTTTACTTCAAGCACTTGTACTATCAAGCACAACCCTACCAATGAAGGGAAAGAAGCAGCAGAGACACCTACTGAGTCAAATGACTGCCACCGTCAGTTCTCAAACAAAAACAATTTTTATAAAATTGAAAAATCTCACCTGTTAGTGGTGCTCACTAGCCACTAGTGACTCGAATTGTTCGTCCACGAAATTTGCAATATACCACTACGGAACCAGCAAGAGTAGGTAAGTTGGCGTAGAGCAACAGCTATGCAAAGCCATGTTCATCTCCGCTGCACTTTGGAAGGCAGTACAAGCACCCTTCATACCTCGACATTGCCTTGGAGTGGAAGCAAATTCACCATGAGTTTTCCAATTCGCTACAATCGATCTTGGGGTGATATTCGTGTTTTCTTCATCACCACTGCAGGCTGGACAGCCTTCGGGAAGACATGTGTCACTCTCCTGCTCAACAGACTCCTACATCTAGATTTGGGTACCGTCAGGGAACGAAATAGAGCTGCAAAACACCAAAGTAATTGTTTTCTTCCATTCAATTACACTGCCGAGCATGCACAGCATGGTGACAGCTAAGCAGTACGCACGTCATCAAGCCCATTTTCCAAATATGGAAGGTGTTATTTATGAAATTTGACACGGTTCCTCTTCTCTGATCGGCTCGAGACATAGCTCATCGGAATCAGTGCCCAATTCTCCTTCGGATAAGCCATACTTATTTTTGGCGTTCAGTTTCCCTTTAACCTTTTCTTCCGTTGGCCTGGGTAGCTGGATTCGCGCTCTAGTACATTCATTTACATAGCTACCCAGGCCCTTGATAAGCTCTGACTTGGACATTTTCTCGCTCTCTTTCCAACGAATCTTGACTTGAGACTAAGAGTTATTGACCTTCGTCCTCTGTGACTGCTCACGTGTGTGATCCGGTGACCCTTACATTGGCGCCCAACGTGGGGCTCGAACCCACGACCCTGAGATTAAGAGTCTCATGCTCTACCGACTGAGCTGTTTCGTAGTCGTATTATTCGTGAAGCGCACTCGACAGCGGTGATCGGCCATTTCGCCACAAGACGCACGATTGCATTGGTCACGAAAAAGTATTTTTGGATTGGGTTTCGCGCTGAGATTGACGAATTTTGCGCAGGTGTACCGACTGTCAGCGTTTGAAAGCAAAGAATCCGGTTGATCGTGCACCTTTGCAACATTTGGCTTCTTCCAAACCGCTTGAAGTAGTTGCAATGGATCTGATGGGCCCACTGCCAATTTCATCGTCAAAAAATGCATATATTCTCGTGGTTTAAAACTCGGATGTTGAGCCATAAATAAATGTAGAAAAGAAAAGGACATATGGATACGAGTTAAGAGTAACTCTCCATCACTGTAACTGGATACTATATACAGTCAAAAAGTGCAATAACTAGGCACATAACTGACAGAGTACTGAGACATTCGACGTCCTGACACCTAGCTTCAACACATCTCCACATCACTTTCTTACAGTGATGGAGAGTTACTCTTAACTCGTATCCATATGTCCTTTTCTTTTCTACATTCTCGTGGTTGTTGATCATTTTTCAAAATGGACTGAATGCTATCCTTTGCCAGATATTCGTGCATGTACTGTCGCTCAATGTTTTGTAAAAGAGTTTGTGTCTCGCCATGGTTTACCTGAGCTCATTCACACTGACCAGGGTAAGCAGTTCGAATCACTATTGTTTCGCGAGCTATGCCTACGTCTTGACATTGATAAATCACGAACGACTCCGTATCATCCACAGGGCGATGGTGTTGTTGAGAGAGCGAATAGAACGATCCAGAATATTTTAAAGATTTTTGTTGATGAGGCCAATTCGAATTGCTGTCCCTGCGGGAATTTGCGGAAAAAACTCTCGAAAACTTGCGCAAGAAATTGCGGCAGAAAGTAACACAAAATGCGACGAAAAGTGCGGAATGATGCCGAACTTGCCAGGAATCCGCGGAATTATTTGCAAAAAATTGCGGATTTGGGCCAAATCACGAAATTTGTTGCATCGTATATCTACTCGGGAGTCGTACGAAGTGATTTGGCTTTTTTTTAACATTTGGCATTTTTTAACAAATGTGTAAAATTTGCTTTTCTTCTGGCTGTTTCTCTGCTCCGGATGGCTGTATCGAAACATGGGTGGTGGCAAATGAGAGCCAGTTTATCGTAGATCAACATTGACCAGAAAATTTGGTGCATATAATTTAATTCTCCCTGCCACGTCGGTATACCTAGTGGTGGGTGCTTTGCTGTTTTGTGTAAAAATGTATAAAATAAGCCCCCGAATGGACGAGGAGGGCAGTGAATTGCTTCCGCAGGGCCTTTGGACGACGTCAGGCTGTCTTGCCATCACTAAAGACAACAATGAAGAACAGTAGGTCACGGAATACACTCTGAGAGAACGAAAACATGGCTGCGATGCTATTCTACCTATCCAATTCTACCGTGTGACACAGTCACTAGTTACAAAATTAATACAAAAACACGGCTTTGCGGCGGCAGTATACCATTGTATGCTGCCGCAAAGCCGTGTTTTTGTACAGTTCACAGATTGATTTTCATCCACTAGCATTCCTTGAAGTGATATCTATCAACTTCAGAAAATTGGTGACCGAATATCCCAGTTTGTGATACCATTTTACAAATTTGTTAAAAAATGACACACCAATTATTTGAACCCTGAGAATACTATGAAAGTAGGACATGATTCAAGACACTTTCCAAAGTGGGATCATTCCCATTTTTTGAGCCAACAGGCATGAAAGATAGCACTTTCACTTACAACAATTTATTTGGACGTACATGTAGCTTGCCTACAGAAGTGGCTGAAAAAACGTCATTTTACAACCATGTTAAAAAAAGCCAAATCACCTCGTACATGTACTGTGCAAATAACCTACAGGATCATGGAAAGAACTGCATGAAAAGTGCATAAAAATGTGAGATATAGTGCAGAAAACAACAAAAAAAACGCGGGAAATAGCGGATTTTGCTGAAAATCGCTGGTTTGGGCCAAAATCGCGAAATTTGTTGCATCCGTGGAATCGCGATTTCCTGGAGGGTCAGGAATTGGGACGAGCTACTTCCTTCGACGATGTTGGCGTACAATACGAGTGTTCACGCGTCTACAAATTTTACACCGTATTCTTTAATGTTTGGTTGCGAGGCACACATGCCTCTCGATATTTTGTGTCCTCCGCCTGCCGACTCACTTCCTTAAACGCACGAATCTTTTGCGAAAGAGCATGTTTCAAAGCTGCGTGTTTCATACGATTTGGTTCGACAACATCTCGAATCTAGTCAACGTTGTTCTAAAGTCCGTCACAATCGAAAATCTCGCGCTAGCCCATTGAATGTAGGTGACCCGGTTTGGTAACATCGACACCCGCCGCCTCAAGTTTCGCCTAAATTTTTTCAAGTATTGGTCGGGACCATGGGAAATTGTAAAGAAACCGACAGACGTTACGTATGCGATTGAACCTCGATTTGAGAGTCCTATCCGCCATCGACCTTGCACAGTCCATCGAAATCGTCTTCGGAAATGTTTGACGCAAATGGGACCTGCCACACGCACACCACTTGCTGCGTCTACACGAACACCTCTTGCTGCGCCTGCACACACGTACAATACCCGTTCTCGCCTGCCGACTTAATTTCATGTTCTTTACCGATAAGTGTCTTTTCATTCGTAGTTGTTTTTGTTTGGTGTTTTTTGTTGTTTGTTTTGCTTCGTTTGTTCTCGTCCTGGGTGTGGTGCTTCATTCCTCCTCGATGTAGCGAGCATGTCTCTCTCGCCAGAAGAACAGCTGGCCGCTGCCCTCCTGATCCCCCTAACGCCTTGCTCGCCGCCCTCGTCGTCTCCTCCTCCGCCCCAATCACCGCTGCCCCATCCCAACTGTGCGATGTTGGAGCCGTGGGACATTTCCCCATGGGGGTCGCCGCCGCGATTCACCGACTTGGTGCGACAAGCGCCATCGCCGCCGTCACCTCGGACGCCCGTGCTTCTGCCCGCACCACCGGCGCCCGGGATTGCCAGGCCGTCGCGCCTGGACGCCGCGCGTCGGCAGCTCGCCTTGGCGCCACGCCCTCCCTCAGCGGAGGAACTGATCACGGCCATCCGACATCGACTTACCATACGACCAGATCAACCACCGCGACGACGCAATACCAACAACCTCCGACACCTACGACCACGACCACGGCAACGCCCGCAACCACGACCGATACGCCCGACTCGACACCGCTACTACGATGCCGACGTTCTGCCACCGCACTGACTTGCCATGCCGACCATGCCCCGCCACGCGCCTATCCGCCACTGGACTGGCCCTCCACCCAATCGTCGTCCTCGTCACGTGTTTTCTCGTCGTGGTCCGGTCTATGACTACTCCACCCGTTGGTTTGTCTGGTCATGGCCTTGTCTACAGCAGCGGTGGAGACAGCAGAGTTACGAATTCTGCTTCAAAGACTCCGTGTCTGCCTGTACAGCCTACAAATTACAATGACATCAAGTTGTGGGCTGGACTTGTAGTGCTGAGTTCCACCCTACTCAGGAATCGACCAACCTCCATCGGGGTTTTCATCGTGTGGTTTCTCCCCCTACCCCCCCCCCCCCCTCGCCCCTGCCTTCTAACTATTTCTACATCTTTCACTCCCTTCTTTGCATGATTGTTCCATTGTTGTCCTCATCACTTAGTGCCCGAGATAACACATCGTATACTACCCATGATATTTGGCACAATTGCCCGCTTTGAAAGAGTCAGCGACGAATGAGAATCATGGCTCATTGGTGAATAGTCTGAAAAAAGGCTGAAGAAAAAATTGACTGTCACCACCAGGAATCGAACCAGGGACCTTTGCTCGATGCTCTAACCACTGAGCTATGGTGTACAATGTAGCTGTCCTCCCAGCAGAGACCGTTCAACATTTTCTTCAGACTTCTAACTCACGTTTGACTTGCGACGTAAAATGACAGTGACAGTCTGGTCAACTGGTGGTGACAGTCGATTTTTTCTTCAGACTTTTCCCGTTTGTCTCTTTCCCTCAAACCAGTTAATATTACAATACAATACGCTTCCTGTGAATCCACACAGGCGGGTGGGACACAGCCCTCACTGTAACCATCAAGACTCGGTGACTATACCGCAGTTTGGTACCACGTGTCCTTTGCATATCCTGGACCCCGAGATGTTTTAGCAGGACCTACAGGTAGGCATTGGCGGATACTGATGCTCGAAAAGGTGGTAGATTCTGCCCGAAAAGCAGTGAAATTGGCAGAACCACACAAACCTTATGGCGGGCAATTCCTCGAATTCTGCTCCATTTCTTTATCCACATACCAAACATGCATGAAACTTACCAGAAAAGTACCGAATTCTGCCAATTTTTCTGCCGGCATTATCCGCATATGCCTACCTGTACAGTACTTTTATTTTTTCAAAGGTGGTCAGACCTGTACTTTTTTTTTCATCGTACACAGTACAGTTGGCACCTATGACATCAGGGGATGGCCCACGCCTGGTAAAAAATAAATAAATAAAAACAAAAACAATGAGGAGCATTAAAGACAGTCGGTACAGTGCGCACATGTTCACCGGTTTGAGTGCTACGCACATGCCACAGTTCAGAAATGCAAATTGCACTCAGCAGCCACCAGTTCGGTCGATGATGGTTGAGCTACTGCAACTCTGCTCCGGGACCGGTGTCCTCGGAGGGCCATAATGGCCGAGCGAAGAAGGGCGAACCCCAACCTGCATCTGATCCATGCCATTGTGATGGAGTAAGGCTCATTCTTCTTGTCGCTGATGATCAGTCCGAGCCGCTTGTAAAGAGCAGTTGCCGCCTTGCCTTGGCCTCCGGTGGCACTGAATACGAGGGGAACGAAGGTGGCATGCTCCACCTCACGAACACGCTCCTCATGACGCTTCTCACGCTCATGCTTTGCGTATGCGGCGGGGATGGAGTGGACCGAGTTCGAACGAGCATGAGGGTTGAACACCCGAATATCAAAGAAAGCTCGCTCAAACCGGCCACCCCATACCCCGCTGGCAGCAACATCCAGCCTGGCACCATCCTCACGGATATCCGTCCGGTGATGAAAATTCTCACCAGATAACGGCTGAAGGCGTGGCTCAATGCTGATATCATGAGCTGCTGATGTGAGCATGGTAGCGGTCAAGTCCCGCAGCTCGTTGTGCCGCAGATACGGATAGCCACCTACTGGGCAAGACAAGGCGTGCGGGACAGTGAAGGCAGCTCCACAGGCACAGCTCTGGGGGAGATGGGGCGGAGTCCACCCGTAGCGGAGGCAGACAGCATCTCGAAACGCGCCCTTGTGTAGCGAGAACCCATGCTGCTTGAGTGGTCGACAGGTGAGCCAGTTCGACGCACCCTTTTCGGCCGCAAGATCCATGGACCTCTGCAGGTCTCCATCCACGCCATCGTACACCTCCTTGGCATGACGCTGCTCCTTCTTTCTGGCGTCTGCCCTGGCTTTAGCTTTGGCTGCCCTGGTGTTGTCCGCCTCCTCCTGTGGCGGTGTATCCTGGCACTACAGCCTGTACGGGCGCACTGTCCGCAAGCCGCAGTTGCCGCCGCAAGCTACAGCCTACATGTACAGTAGGTATCGGTTATAGCGTGGGTGTTTGAAAAACGACATTTGATTCTTATTGCCGATATTTCTTACAGACGATAAATCACGTGTGACATATCATAATACACGTGTGACATAATCATATGCGCATGCGGACACGTACACATGATACACACGGATCAGACTCGCGGTCGACCGGTCGTGCTGGCGACTAGACTGCGGAGCAGCAGATACGAGAGAAGTCGGAAGAAAGAGTCCGACTGGACAGAAAAAGTGATTCTCCAGTGCTCCCTTGGATATAACTCTCTTTTTGTGTTGAATATTATTGTATTGAGTATGCACAGAGCACAGATGGTATTACTACAGGCGATACACTTTGCACTAATCTGGCATATTTTGCTGCATAAAATCCATTCTTAGGGCCGATATATTCTACTATGCGATAATACTGCTTGTAAGAATAAATATACACATAAAATATGTGTTATGATTATGAAAAAATGAGTGTTCATTCTTGTTATAGGCCATTCACACGACGTGCAAACATTTGCACGAGTGTGATCAAGATAACACTGGCAAACCGTGATCCAGTTCACACGGTGCTGGGCAAACTTTGCAACCGTTAATGTATCCATAGTGACCTCCTGAAAATGCCGGGAAACGTTCAATTTTGAATTTTCCCTTGTTCATGCACTGCATTTGCAGTACGCACTTTCAACAACCGACACTTTTCCTGGCGTGCAAAGATGATCGCGAGCAAAAGGGCCTCGGCCAAGATAAAAAATCAGTTGCTCCCGTGTGTCCAAGTTTATCGTATCCGAGTAAATATCCTTGGAAACAGTACGATAAAAGTAAGTTTGCCCGTCGTGTGAATGGCCTATTAGGCAGTATATTCTTGTATACGACCACACTATAACCGATACGCACTGTACAATGTAGGTGCCGCTATTGTCCAACAATGTTCTCTGTCTCAGTACTCCTTGTCAGGTTTGTGCCCTGTTGTCGCACTTGCTGACTGTACATGTACATACATGATACAATCCAAAACTGGTAAACCAGTATTAGATAAAACTTGTTGTAGTTCACGCAATTGTTTTAACACAGTGTCCTCCTCCTTGTTTCATGCTGTCAATCTAACAATTGCATGTACTTGCAAGTACATACATGTACATTATCTGGTTACATAATCAGTCATTGGTGGAAAGTTGGTCATAACTTTTAACATTTTTTTTCATTTTGAAAGTCGGATGTTGAGCCAATAATAAATGTAGAAAGAAAAAGGAAATAAAGATACGAGTTGAGAGTAACTCTCCATCACTGTAACCAGATACTATATACAGTCAGAAAGTGCAACAACTAGGCACAAAACTGACAGAGTACTGAGACATTCGACGTCCTGACACCTAGCTTCAACACATCTCCGTAGCGCTAACCGACAGCCTTCCAACTTGGAAGGTTCAAGGTTATGGAAAGAGAGGGGAAGGCAAGCGCAACGGAAATGAGCACAAGCTACAGTCCAAACGGAACAAAGAATGTCGATTGTCGGCTGTCGGTTAGCGCTACGGAGATGTGTTGAAGCTAGGTGTCAGGACGTCGAATGTCTCAGTACTCTGTCAGTTTTGTGCCTAGTTGTTGCACTTTCTGACTGTATAATAGTATCTGGTTACAGTGATGGAGAGTTACTCTCAACTCGTATCTATATTTCCTATTCCTTTCTATGATTTTTTCATTCTTTTATTTATCCAATATTACATTGGCTCAACATCCGAGTTCAAATCTTCTGTGGCTTTTTATCTGTTGAAAACTTGAAATTCTGAGAGTATTCAGCAGATGCCGAGGGTGTTGAAAAGGAAAAAAAGTCTGAAGAAAACCTTGACTGTCACCACCGGGCACCAGCTAGGACGGGAACCAAGGACCTTCGCTCTGGCGAGGCCAGCGATGCTCTTAGTCTTACCATAAACGACCCCCCTCCCCACACACACATGCATGTACAACACACACACACACAACACGTCAACTAATACCGTCAATCGTACAACAAAACAACTACATGACTTGTACATGTATTTAATTTTGTTTGCAAAGGCATCGTTCTAACCATTGTGGAAAATACGTACACGTTTTTTATTTTATTTTACGCGTACATAATTTGCACGCCGTCTCGCTTGACTCATTCTATAGCTGTACTTTGTGGTGAGCACTGTCGAACTGAAATAGCAAAAACAAAGGTCACAAAGTGGGCAACTTGACCGAATCAATCGGACGCGCAAACCTCTCCAGTCTTCAGGTCTCCCCAGCCTCCCACGGGCCGGCCCTGAACCAGATTAGATAGCCAGCCGTGCATCACGTCACGGTCCCACTCCCATGTCCCCAGATCCAAGGTCCCCTTTCCCCGGAGTCGCTAGGCCCAGGCCAGATTAATTTAATTTGCAAGTTGGCAATATTATTACTTCCATCATTTAATATTATTAGTATAGCACTGTACCGGTAATGATCGCAACATGAAGCTTTCATTTTTATGACACGTGATTGTACAAATCTATGGCTGGTCAACAACCTTCTTAGCTCACAAGTGAGGAGTCACTCTTATTGTATTTCGATTCCAGTCCCCGTGTCGCTAAAGCTGGCCTCTTCTCGTTGTTTGGAGGCGTAATGATACGGATAGAAGTAAGCCGAGTCGTGCTG